GATGTCAGAAGGTCAGGGTGATGTGACGGTTGGAAGAGGTCGTTGAACCAAGGAATGTGGGCAGCCTTGACAAGTTGGAAGGAGGAAGGAACAGATTTCCCATAGAACTTCCAGAGGGAACACAGCACTGTTGACAGGTTGATATTAGCCCCATAAGACCTATGTCAGACCTATGTTAGACTTCTAACTCTAGAACTGTACAATGATAAATTTGCATCTTTTTAAGCTACTATGTTTTTAGTAATCTGTGACAACAACAATAGGAAACTAAATAAGAGTTCCTGAAGATAAATGATGCCAAACACATATTTCAACCATAGCCAATCCTGCCTCTGCATGTAGATAATCAAGTTATGCAACATTTTTTTCTCTTACTTAGGCTAGTTTTGCAATAGTGTGTTTTAAAAATATAAATTTGATATACTATGGATTATTTAAAACCACACTTACCAAATAGTGTTTTTCACGGTAATTACATAACCATTTATTTTTCTACTAGAGTGTAAGTTTGATGAGGGCAGAATCTCATTTTGATTTACCTTTGCTTTCCTTATAGCATGCGGAGGTAATCTGTATAGAAGTAATACGTGCTTATAATAACATAGAACATATATAGATGGAATGTACATCCTAATTCTGAGTTTGAATTCTGGACAAAGTCATATAATTCCAGCGCATCTCTCTTTCTTCATCTTTAAAACGATAGTAATAAGGTACCTGCCTTATGTTATTTTGAGAAGAAAATGAAATTTTATGTCATTTTGTAAACTAAATCATTAATATTAGTTAGCTTTTAGTTAAATCATACTAGGTTTTTTTTTGTTTTTTCTTTTCTCACTCTGTCACCCAGGCTGGAGTGCAGTGTTATGATCATGGCTCACTGTACCCTCTACCTTCCTGGGTCCAGGTGATTCTCCTACCTCAGCCTCCTGAATAGCTGGTACTATAAGCACATGCCACAACTCCTAGCTAATTTTTTATTTTTTGTAGAGATGGGGTTTGCCATGTTGCCCAGGCTGGTCTCAAACTGCTGGGTTCAAGCCATCCTCCCACCATGGCCTCCCAAAGTGCCCAGTCAATATTAGTTAATTTATTATTCCTATGGATAAACAGGTAAACAGTTTGAAATACATATATTTACTAATGATTAGAATGATGAATTTTGTTTATATTCTTAAAGGGAGCTTCATAAAAAATATATTTCAGTAAAAAAGAGTAATAGGACACAACTCATGGTATTTCTAATATAATATTAAACTTTTGTGCTATATGCCAGGGGAATTCCTAATAGCCATGAAGCTGTTAATAAAAATATCAAAATAATAAGTAAAGACAATGTCGATTTATTTTTTTCACATCACTAGCATTAATAACACTTTATATTAAAGATTCATTCCACAAGGTCAGGTCCTCAGGTGATTTATATTACATTTCTTTACCAGTACCACCAAAAAGTAACTGGACCAGTTTTTTTGGCCAGTTTTGTATGATAACTCAATCCTAGAATCCCAATTTGAGGATCTGCTTCCTATCCACTTCCAGTAGCAGTTGCTGTATTAGTTAAGGCACTGGCAAGAAACAGGTAGGATACTTAAAAGAGATGATTGAAACAAATTTAGTGAATAAGCTATTCGTAAAGTATTTGCAGGATTAAGGGAAACCAACAAGGTATGATGTAACACCTAGGAGCTAACAGGCTATCAACAGTGGGAGGTCTTTACTTATACCTAGGATTGAAGGGAAGGGGTGTGAGGAGCTGGAGCAGTGACCAAACCCTGCAGGAGTGAGTCGCTTGCAGTACCTTCAGTAGGGAATTGCATGTGATACCAGGGAGAGGAGGCAGGCAGAGTAGGGATCCAGGATAATAAGTATCTCCCCACACCCCCATCTCCTGCTGAAGCTTTCTATTGACTACACAGCTATAAGCCAGGGCCAAGGGAGTCTGGTTGAGGCAGTCTACAGGTGGGCCTCTTAGGGCACAGTGCTAGGGAGAGAAAGTCATAGTGGACTTACTATGTGAACAAATAGAGACAATCCAGCTGACAATCCCACGCTTTCTGGCTTTGCGGTCCATGCTATTTCTATAGTAACATCTTTCCTACTATCACTAATCTTTACTACTCACTTTTCTGGACATTTCACTTAAGGAATTTTTTTTTCCTTTTCTTAGTTTTCTGTTTTCTACAGAATAGGGAAAATGTTTAGATTGTAGATATTTGATTTCCACTATATAATTTATAGGAATAAAAGAGCAATATTTGAGGGCTCTGGTTAAAAGGCAAAGACATAGATCACTACGATAAGCAGCATAATCCAACCTCTTTTGCTTTCTTGACCTAAAGATGCAGAGATAAGAAAGGAATTGCAGAAGCTAGGAGACAACAGCAGAGGTTAGAAATTAAAGTTAACTCTTCCAGTTAAGACTGATGTTCACCCCTCAAATTTGGAAGTGTACTCATGGTTATACTTTTTACATAGTCTTTTAAGGCATGTATTAAATAGAGTGTTTTTCTAATTTAAGTTTACATTTTACCAAGCATATTGCATTTGAATTGAATTATACATATTTAGTATGAATAATTTCTTTTTCAGAAATAGTTGTTGCTGAAAGTGTGGTTGTTATAAAGAAATTACTGCAAATGCAACCTGCACAACATGGTGAAATTATTAAACATATGGCCAAACTCTTGGACAGTATCACTGTGAGTATCAATTAAAGAGATGTGTGCTGAATTTTTTTCAATAAGTTGTAGTTTTGTTATAATAAATGGTCAGCCTAAAGGGTAGTGGTTAGGAGAGCTGAACTATCTGGATTCCAATGTTGAGATTCTAAGATTTCTTGCTGTTATAGGAGGGAATTACAAATCTGAATAGGGGAAGGATAGAATGAGCCTTATAGTATTAGATTGGAATTGGAGATAGCAGTGTGGGTTTTATATATCAATAGCTAGATGTTGGGTAAGTATATATGCATGTACATGTATCATAAATTAAATGAATATACAAACATCTCTTTCCCAGATCTGTCGTTTGAGAGGAGTTAGAAACAATACCAGCGAGCACACTTTGTGCAGAGATCTTGGTTTTTTTAAATTGAGGTATAATTTTATAATACCCTTTTGAAGTGTATCATTGGTTTTTGGTGGACTTGTAAGTTGTGCAACCATCACCAATATGTAATTGCAGGACATTTTCATCATCCCTTAAAAAAAATTCCGTATCTGAGACTCTCCAGCCTCCCTTTGCTCTATCCCCTGGACACTACTAATTTACTTTTTTATCTTTATGGATTTGCCTTTTCTAGACAATATGGAGCCTTTTGTTTCTGGCATCTTTCACTTAGCATGTTTTCAAGGTTTATGCATATTGTAGATTATAATACTTCATTCCTTTATATGGTAGATCTTAGTTTTTAAATACAAATCTTGAAGGGTAGAGCAAGATGGCCAAATAGAAAGCTGCACTGATTGTCGCCCCTGCAGGAACACCAAATTTTAGCAACTAATTACACACAAAAAAGCAACATTGTAGGAACCAAAAATCAGGTGGGCAATCACAGTGCCTGGTTTTAACTTTATATTGCTGAAAGAGGCACTGAAGAGGGTAGGAAAGACAGTCTTGCATTGCCAATGCCACTGCTCTTCCATCCCCTGGCAGAAGCAGAGTGGCATGGAGAATCTCTGCACTTGTGGGAGGGAGAGCACAGTGGGAAGAGAACAAGAGTTTCTGCCTGGTGATCTAGAGAATTCTCCCAGATTTATCCAAGCCCACCAAGGTGGTACCTCTACTAGTTTGCAGGAATCACAATATTACTGGGCTTGAGGTCCAAGTCCCTTTGAATAACCTGGAAGGCCTTCTTAAGTAAGATAGGCACAAACAAGCCCAGACTGTGAAGACTACAATAAATACCTAACAATGCCCAGAAACTGATGAACATCTATAAGCATCAAGACTATCTGGGGAAATAAGACGTCACCAAATAAACTAAGGCATTGGGGACCAATACTAGAGAAACAGAGAGATACATGACCCTACAGACAGGGAATTCAAAATAACTGTCTTGAGAAAACTCAAAGAAATTAAGATAACACAGAGAAGGAATTTAGAATTCTAGCTGATAAATTTAACCGAGATTGAAATAGTTAAGAATAAAGCAGAAATTTTAGAGTTGAAAAATGCAGTTGATATACTGAAAATTGCATCAGGGTCTCTTAGTGGCAGAGTTGATCAAGAAGAATTAGTGAGCTTGAAAACAGGCTCTTTGAAAATATAGTCAGAGAAGACAAAAGAAAACAATAGAAAAGAATGAAGCATAACTACAAGATCCTGAAAATAATCTCAAAAGGGCAAATCTGAGAGATATTGGCCTTACAGAGGAAGTAGATAAAGAGGTAGGGATAGAAAGTTTATTCAGAGGAAGAATATCAGAGAACTTCCCAAACCTAGAGAAAGATGTCAGCGTTCCAGTACAAGCAGGTTGTAGAGCATTAAGCAGATTCAACCCAAAGAAGCCTACCTTGAGACATTTAATAATCAGAATCCCAAAGGTCAAAGATAAACCAAGGATCTTAAAAGCAGCAAGAGAAAAGAAACAACATACAATTGAACTCTAATATATGTGACAGCACACTTTTTAGTGGAAACCTTATAGGCCAGGGAAGAGTGGCATGACATAAAGTGCTGAAGGAAAACAACTTTTACCCTCGAATAGTATATCCAGTGAAAATATCCTTCAAATATGAAGGAGAAATAGAGACTTCCACAGACAAACAAAAGCTGAGGGATTTCATCAACACCAGACCTGTCCTACAAGAAATGCTAAAGGTACCTCTTCAATCTGAAAGAAAAGGATGGTAGTAAGCAAGAAGAAATTATTCAAAGGCACACAATTCAATAGTAATAGCATGTACACAGGAAAGCAGAATATTATAAGACTAGAATTGTGGTGTGTAAAATACTCATGTCTTGAGTAGAAAGACTAAAACATGAACTGATTAAACATAGCTACAACAACTTTTCAAGACATGGACAGTACAATAAGACATAATTAGAAACAGCAAAAAGTGAAAAAGCAGGATAGAAATTTTATTAGTTTTCTTTTTGCTTGATTGTGTATGCAATCAGTGTTGTCATCAGTTTTAAATAATGGATTATATGAATAAGATAGTATTTGCAAGCTTCATTGTAACTCTAATCTAAAAACATTAAATGGATACAGAAAAAAATAAACAAAAAATTAAATCATACCACCAGAGAAAACATTAAAAGGAAAACAGGAAGAAAGGATGGAAGGAAGAGAAGAACACAAAACAACCAGAAAACAAATAACAAAATGGCAGGAGTAAGTCTTTACTTATCAATAATAACATTGAATGTAAATGGACTATACTATCCAATCAAAAGACTTAGAGTCACTGCATGGATAAAAAATCAGGACCCAATGATCTGGAAGCACACTTCACCTATAAAGATGCACATAGAATGACAATAAAGGGATGGAAAAAGACATTCCATGCTGGTGGAAACCAAAAAAGAGCAGGCATTTCTATACTTACATCAGACAAAATAGATTTCAAGACAAAAAGTGTAGGAAGATACAAAGAAGGTCATTATGTAATGATAAAGAATCAAATCAGCAAGAGGATATAACAACTTTAAATATATATGTCCCCAAAACTGGAGCACCCAGATATATAAAGCAAATGTTATTAGAGCAAAGGTAGACCTCAATACAATAACAGCTGGAGATTTCAACACTCCACTTTCAACATTGGACAGATCTTCCAGAGAGAATATCAACAAAGACGCATTGGATTTAATTTGCACTAAACACCAAATGGATCTAATAGATATTTACAGAAAATTTCATCCAAGAGCTGCAGAATACACATTGTTTTTCTCAGCACATGGATTATTCTTAAGGATAGAGCATATGTTAGGTCACAAAACAAGTCTGAAAACATTAAAAAAATAATATCATCAAGCATCTTATCTGACCAGAGTGGAATCAAAACTAGAAATCAGTAAGAAGAGGAATTTTCAAACAATACAAACATATGGAAATCAAACAATATGTTCCTGAATGACCAGTAGGTCAATGAAGAAATTAAGAAGGACACTGAAAAATTTCTTGAAACATTCGATAATGGAAACTCAACCTACTAAAACCTATGGGATACAGCAAAAGCAGTACTCAAAGGGAAGTTTATAGCTATAAATAAGGGCCTACATCAAAAAAGAAGAATAACTTCAAATAATAAATAATGATGTATCTTAACTAGAAAAGCAAGAGCAAATCAAACCCAAAATTAGTAGAAGAGTTAATAAAAATCAGCAGAACTACAATCGGAGATGAAAAAGGAGATGTTAGAACTGATACTGCAGAATTTCAAAGGATCATTAGTGGCTACTATAAGCAACTATATGCCAGTAAATCAGATAATCTAGAGGAAATGGAAAACTTCTTAGACACATACGACCTCTCAAGATTGAACTATGAAGAAATCCAGTATCTGAACAGACCAATAACAAATAACAAGATTGAAACCATAATAAAAATTCTCTCGGTAAAGAAAAACCCAGGTTCCGATGGCTTCACTGCTAAATTCTACCAAACATTTAAAGAAGAACTAATACCAATTCTATTCAAACTATTTCACAAAATAGAAGTAGAAAGAATACTTCCAAATTCATTCTACAGGGTCAATGTTACCTTGATACCAAAACCAGACAAAGACGCACCAAAAAAAAAAAAGAAAAAAAGAAAGAAAAGACAACTACAGGCCAGTATCTGTTGAATATCAGTGCAAACATCCTCAACAAAATACTAGCAAACTGAATTCAACAAAACATTTAAAAGACCATTCGTCATGACCAAGTGAGATTTATCCCAGGGTTGCCAGGATGGTTCAACATTCATAAATTAATCAGTGTGATTCATCATATAACAGAATGAAGGACACACACAAAAAATGATCATTTCAGTTGATACTGAAATAGCATTTGATAAAGTTCAATATCCCCTCCTGATAAAAAAACCTAGAAAAACTGGGGATAGAAGGAACATACCTCAATATAATAAAAGCCACATGTGACAGACCCACAATTAGTATCATATTGAATGGGGAAAATCTTAGTCTTTTGTCCAAGCTCTGGAACACAACAAGGATGTCCACTGTTACTCAACACAGTATGAAGTCCTACCTAGAGCATTCAGACAAGAGGAAGATATAAAGGCATCCAAATTGGAAAGGAAGAAGTCAAATTTCCTTGTTTGCAGATGATATTATCTTACATTTGGAGGTATTTTGGGGTATAAGAGCATGCCTAAACTTTACCTTTGTTAGTTAAGAAAATGAAGTGTGGCCAGGTGTGGCGGCTTATGCCTGTAATCCTACCTCTTTGGGAAGCCAAGACAGGTGGATCACCTGAGGTCAGGAGTTCAAGACCAGCCTGGCCAACATGGTGCAACCTCATCTCTACTAAAAATACAAAAATTAGCTGGGTGTAGTGGTACGTGCTTGTAATCCCAGCTACTCAGGAGGCTGAGGCAGGAGAATCGCTGGAACCTGGGAGGTGGAGGCTACAGTGAGGTGAGACCACACCACTGCACTCTAGTCTGGGTAACAGAGCAAGACTCCTTCTCAAAAAAATAAAATCAAATCTATGTGTTTACCTAGAGAGATAGCTAACACAAATGTAGTAAAATGTTAACATTTGGGGAATCTAGGTGCAGTGTATCCAGAATTTTTTTTACTCTTCTTGTAAGTCTGAAATTATGTTTTTTTTTAAAAAAAAAAAACCCAATAAATATTATTAGTTCCAACTCCATCACTTATCAGCTGTATGTCCTTATGTTAAAGTGTCTATGCCTCACTTGTCATGTGTCAAATGGTGATTGTAAAAGGACCTACATTATAGTATTATTATAGGTGTTAGCTTAGTTATGCCCTTAGGACACTGGCTGGCACATAGTAGTGCTATTAAGTCATTCTCTCTTACTTTATGCTCTTCTTCCCTTTAGAACCAAAGTTTTTGAAAGAACTATCTGCAACAAATTTTATTCCTTTGACTCAAGCTCCCTCCTCATCCCATCACAGCTGGATTTTGGCTCTCCAGCATTTCATTAACTATGTCTTTCCCAATGTTGCTATCTCCTTCTTACTAAATCCAGTGGGTACTTGTCTGTCCATATCTCGCTTGATCTTTCCTTAGCATTGGACTACATGAACTACTTCTTCCTTTTTGAAATAGTCTCTTCTCATGGCTTCTGTAAATTTTCTCTTCTTCCATTATTTCTTCTCCATTGTGTTTGCCTTTTACTATGCCTTTTCGTTGAGTGCTGGTTAATGTTTTGTCAACTTATGTTCTATAATAAATGCATTTGTAGTTTAGGGAGGAGTATATTATTTCCTTCTTTGAAGATGGCTTAATTTATATTCTGAGTCTCTTCAGAGGGATCATATTTGTGTAGTCAAAGGTAACAGATCACAAGATTTAGAGCCTACTAGTCAAGACCAATTTTAAATATCTCTGGTGGCAAAATTTCTTTCTCTTAAGGTGTTAGTAAAGCTTGCAGGGAAGTTACACATTTATCTTAAAGCTAAAAATAACAAAATAGTAGGCTTACAGAAGTAATTTAGCATCTGAGCTTCCACCCCACCTCTCAGCAGAGAGTTACTTTGTATTCATATTTGTTCTCACTGTTGATTCTAATAATCAATGCGGGGCTTCTCATTGAAATTGTTTATGAGAGATGTAGGGGCTAAGAGAGTAATTTGAAAACCAGATGACTTGGATTCACATATCGTCTGTACCTTTTACTAGCTTTATGAACTTAAGGAAGTTACTTGACTTCTCTGTGCTCTAGTTTCCCCATCTGTGCAATGGGGATCATAGTACTTAGAACCTTAGAGCTCTATTCGGTGGAATAAATGAGTCAATGCATGTGAAGCACTTAAACAGTGCTCAGTGTAAGCTGTTATTAATGGCATATTCAATGTTTTGGAAGAAGACAGACTATGATAAGATTTTAATTTTGTAAGCTTTCTTATTACCTCTTTCATATTTTACTTATTGAAAGTAACTTCAATAGGGCATATCATTTTCCAGGCAATATTCTGAGTACCTTAAAGATATAAATTATTAATTTTTAATAGCAACACTTCGAGGAAAGTTCTCTTAATATTCCTATTTTATATTTAAGAAACCTGAGGCACAAAGAATAAGTTGCCCAAAGTCACATAGCTAGCAGGTCTGCTTTCTTAACTAGTGCATTATGCTGTATCTCACTTCCATTTATAATCTGTCTTTTTAAAAATTTCACTTTATTTTTATTTGACAAATAGTTAATTGTATTAGTCTACAGAGTCACCTGTACCTTTTCTGTATTTGGTTCACATACCTAATCAGTGACCGAGCCAAAATTTTTTTATTATTTCCTTTTGCTTTCCCCAAATCATTGAAGAATTGGGAATCAGAGTGACATGGTCAGTGTCTACCCCAATGTGGAACAGATGTTTGACATATTTTGATGGGAAATGAGAGAGTAAGCTTTTTTTCTCAAGGCCACTGAAATGGACATCTAGTATTCCTATCTACCAAACATCAAAATTCAGTCATGTCTTTAGTCATTTAACGACTATAAATACCCCTGCTCATATTTAGTTACCTCCTACAGAAGCTCCCAGGAAGAACCACTTGTCTAGCCAATAACTAATGAACTAGCACAGAGAACTCTAGGTGGAAAAAGACAAGAAGAGAGAACTCTAGATGGAAGAAGACAAAGAAGAGAGATATATACATGACTATATATATTTATACACAATGATTAGGTTGGTGCAAAAGTGGTAAAAACTGCAGTTACTTTTGCACTGACCTAATAAATGCATAGCAGTAGACTAGAAATGTCTAACCAAAGTGCGAAATTTGAACTCTTGATAAAGAAGGGGACATAATATAAAGAAAATTTTAATAACCTAGAACTAAAAACATTGAATAGCCAGGAAAACTGAGGAATGAGATGAAATGGAGGTCAGAATAAAAGGATTTCGCAGGTTTTATAGGAGGAAGAGCGTGGAGGGAAGTGGAATTATTATGATATTCTCATCTTGTGTTAAAAAGTGGTAAGATAAAAATAATTATCTTGAGGTGAAAGCAATGGGATTAGTGGGGGAAATAGTTAATACCTTGTTTACAAGTAATGGTAGAGAAGTATGTGTCTGATTATGAGAAGGAAATAGGAATGCGGAGTTCTGTATCCCCCGACTTCTTGTGCAAAATTTAGTTAAAACTTGTGCTAGTCAACTTGTTCTGGTCCTGTTTAGAAAGGAAGAGGCAATTATAAGTACTAGGATTTCAGAAGAGTGCAGCTGCTGTGTATAAAACCTGTAACAGGGTATGAGGCCTGGATCTGGCAAACCTTAGGCTTTCTTGGAAGAAAACTTTCTTCTATTTCAGTATATCCCTATCTGGGGTTATAGAAAATATTTTTGATGTGTCAACTTTTTTTTTTTTTTTTTTTAAATGGCCTCTTGCTCTGTCACTCAGGCTGGAGTGCAGTGGCACAATCTCGGCTCACTGCAACCTTTACCTCCCAAGTTCAAGTGATTCTCCTGCCTCAGCCTCCTGAGTAGCTGGGACTACAGGTGTGCACCACCATGCCCGGATAATTTGTGTGTTTTTAGTAGAAACGAGGTTTCGCCTTGTTGACCACGCTGGTCTCAGGTGGTCTGCCTACCTCAGCCTCCCAAAGTCCTGGGATTACAGGGGTAAGCCACCGCACCTGGCTGATGCATCAGCTTTCTCAACAGTTGCTGGACTACAAGGCAAATAAATAGGTCTTACAGCTGTATATAGCAAAGCTTATTTTTTCAGCTTTTGTTTTTCTCAGAAGATAACCATTAACAGATACAAAAATATGGTGAGACTTCATTATTCATAAAGGAAAATAAGGAACGAATAGCAGCTTTATGAAGCCAGAAAACATATAAGAGGAAAGAAAGAAAACAAATGTAAAATAAATAATAAACATTAAAAATTAATAAAGATGGAAGAAATAAATATTTGTCATCCTGAATATGAATGGACTAAACTTTCTCATTAAAAGACAGACTTACAAATTAGAATGAAAAACAAAAACTAGCTACAGGCCATTTATAATTAAAGCACCTTAATCAAGTGATAGAGGTTGAAAATAAGAAGGTAAGGAAAGAGATATTAAGCAAATATGAACAAGAAAGTGAGATTTACAGTTAATTAAAAGCATTTAACAAGATAAAAAGGAACATTGTAAAATGAAAAAAGGGTACTTGTAAAGAAAGTAGTAAGTACAAACCTATTTGCACAAAAATTATGGCAACCAAATAAATATGTAAAGGAAAAATCTATTGAAAATTCGAGGAGAAATTGATAAAATAGTTACAATTAGTGACTGTAATGTGTTGCCCTCATATTAGATATTCCTAGTAGACAGTTGTAAGAAAATTAAGTAATCAAAAACTTATTTAGTAATTATAGCTAAAACCTTATATCTCTTGAACAGATAATACCCACCTTTAGGAATATATCCATTGAATATTTTCAGAAAATCAAGAATATATTTAGCATAAAGAAAACTTAAAGATTTTGCATTCTTTGAGCTTAAGCAATAAAATTAGACTTAAATAATTTAAAAGGGTATCAGACCAATTGTAAAGTAGGAAATGTACCTTCAGATTAAAGAATGTGTTTAAGGAAGAAATGCAAGCTTTTTTCTGAAACCCAGGAAATAAAATGTTTTGTTTCAAATTGTGTGGGACATGGCTAAAGTTATAAAGGTCACCATTTTAAAGCATAGGAATAAAAAATAAAAGAACTTGGTCTTTCCTAAGAAATTTGAGAAAGAATGACGAGACAAAACATAGGGATCAATGTTAATTTTGTAAAATGGAATACAAAAAATATATATAAATTGAAAAGTATGTGTTAAACCTGGTCTTTTGGAAAGAAAATAAAGCAGAAAATTCCCTTCTAATTATGATGAAGCAGAGAGAGGAGGTAAAAATAGACAAATCTAGAATATGATAATAAAAGAAATTAAAATAATTACAAGAAAGCTCCATGGAATTCTGAGTACACATTTGAACTTTAGGAGAATGAAAAGCTGATAATTAGTTGTTATTGCTCATCTAACCTATCTGAGGAAGCTGAAGTGCTTGAAGTGGGACAAGGAAGCAAGAATCAAAACATCTTGTTGTGCAGAACCCTCAAAATGATCAGCCACAAGCTACCCCAGGAGAAGGTGGTAAGGGATGTAGCAGACATAACTTCAAAGTCAGGAAAGAAGAATGATCGGATCCCCAGAATCTCTCTGTTCCAAATCGTCAGGAGAGCTATTCATACAAGAACAATGGCCATGTGGAAATAAAAGCAGTGTTTTATTAATCTGACCAAGTCCTGATAACTTGTAAGTGTGAGCACGTGAATCTAAAATGTGAGTCTTAAAATAAGAGCCTTAAATGAGACCTCTATCCTCCTGAATCTCTACCTATTTTACCCTTAAATGCTGGAGTGTTATTCTAAAACACAGCATCTTAGGAAAAGCCAATCTGTCCAGTGTCTAAGGACAAGGGGTCAGTATTGAGCATACTTTTTCCTTCAGTGCCTGAGCCACTCTATTAGAGAAGAATCCAGGGTCTGTCTTTCCTCTGGAAGGAGAGAGAACAGAAGTGATAGCAAGACCTCTTCCCACCTTGCCACATTACCTATCCTTAAAAGAAGAGGTGAAAGAAGTGGGAAAATGTCCCACTATACATGGACTTGGGAACAGGCAAGAGGATGGCTTAGATCTGTTCTGAAAATCTGGCTCTTGGGAAAATGGCAGGAGGCACTAGGGAAGCCATTGCAACAATGTGGCAGACAAACAGGATGAAGGCATAATCCTTCATCTGATTAATAAGTAAATGTGACCTCAATGAGGTGAAGTTACTTGCCTCCTTGATAAACACCATCAGTCTGGGATCAGAACAGGTCTTAATAGCTTGCTGGCCAGTATTCTTCCTAGTTTACCCCACTCATTTTGTTGCTACCCAGTGATCCAGTGTGAATTTTGGATTCAGATTTGGAGTTCTGATCCTAGTTCCACCACTAACTAGCTGTGAGATGTGGGCAAGTTTCTTAACCCCTTTGTTACCCTAGTTTCCTTATGTATCAAGTGCAGATCATAGTAGAGCATACTTCATAGGGCTTTGGTGATGAATGACTGAGAAAATACGTAAAGCTCTCAAAAACAGTGCATGGCACATCGTAAGAGCTCAATAGATACTAGCTCTGCAATTTGTTTTAAAAAGATAACAGATTTTATCATATTCAAGGCTTTGTTTTCATTGGTTATAAGTGGCTAAGTTGAAAATATAAAAACTAAAGTTTAAGTGTATTTTATATTTTGAATTCCATCAAATCAAATAGACTTATGTCTGTAGTGCATTCGACTTACATGTTCTGATTGTGAGTATTCTGTCCTTTGGAGTATCCTTCATTTGTGGTAAATACTGGTTTTGGAGTTCTTCTAGAATAAAATGCATACTATCAGCTGGGCATGGTGACTCACGCCTGTAATGCCAGCACTTTGGGAGGCTGAGGCAGGAGGATTGCTTGAGCCCAGGAGTTTAAGGTTGTAGTGAGTCATGATTGCACCACTACACTCCAGCCTGGATGACAGAGCGAGACCCTGTCTCAAAAAAAAAAAAAAAAAAAAAAAAAAAACGTGCTACCTGTGGATCACTCTAACAGGATTTCACATAATGTTTAATGGAACAGATGGGATTTCATATCTTAGAAGAACAACTGAAAAATGTTATTCTGTGAAGACTACTGAGTAATATTGAAATGGCACTTTGTATCCTGCTTGCCCAGATGCCTCATAGGATGCCTGCCATTTCACAAGTTACCCACCCTTTCTCTGACATCCCATTGTAATTCAGGCTTAGGTTTTAATGCATATTGAGTTTAGATACAGAGTATAAGATCTGATTTGCTGTTGGTATGCAGTTTGCTTAGATGTCTACTGATTTTGCCTTTGACAAATTTAAATAAATGAAATTGATGTTTTTGTAGGGTTTACTTTAGACTGTTGCACTGTGCAGTGGGCTGGTGTTGAAACACAATAGCTTTTAAATTGAACTGCTTGCAGAGTGATCTGTAAAATCTTTCTAGATGTCTTTCTATAACTGCTATGGTGGACTAGGAATCATTATTTGTTTTTGCAGGCAAATTAATGGGTTGTGGTGGCAGTGGAAACTGCCTTCTAGTACAAGGTTTGAAAAGTGCATTTAATCACTTTCTCAGGGCATTTAGAATAAAGAATCAGGCAAAGTCATTTACAATCCAGTTTGTCTTTGAGAATATTGAAAAGCAGAGCTTCATAATGAAAGTATTATACGTATGACTCTGTGTGTGTGTCTGTGCCTGTGTCTCTGTGTGTGTATTATTTGGTTTTATTTCAGTGTTCCTATTTATTTTGTGGTTGAAAAGACCATGAAGAACAAAAGGTGACTAATTTTCTTTTCTTTTTTTGAGACGGAGTCTCACACTGTTGCCTGGGCTGGAGTGCAATGGTGTGATCTTGGCTCACTGCAACCTCCAGCTCCTGGGTTCAGGCAATTCTCATACCTTAGCGTCCCAAGTAGCTGGAATTGCAGGCACGTACCACCATGCCACCCTAATTTTGTATCTTTAGTAGAGACAGGGTTTCGCCATGTTGGCCAGGCAGGTCTCAAACTCCTGACCTCACGTGATCCACCTGTCTCAGCCT